AGGTCAGCTTTGGACCCCACCTCCCCTTTCCCAGGTAACTCTAGGAAGGAAAACATCACATTTGCCCCTCCTTAGGCCTCCTGGCTAAAAGAATAGGGAGACAGGGCATTCTGATTAGCTCCAGAGTTTAGAGCATTACACATCACTGTCTTCTCCCTTAAGAATTAATCTAGCCAGGTGTGATGGCTCACACCTTTAATCCTAGCACTCAGGAGGCAGAGGCAGGCAAATAGATCGCTGTGAGTTTGAGGCCAGCCTGGTCTACCTAGTGAGTTCCAGGGGCTACAGGGAGACTCTGTCTCAAAACAAAAGCAAAAAAAAAAAAAAAAAAAAAAAAAAGTAAAAGTAACATAGATGGAAATCTAGAAACTGGATTAGAATATGGCTCAGTGGTAGAGCGCTTGCTTGCTTCATGTTCAATCAGAAGGAAGGAAAGAAGGAAAAAACTAAGCAAACAAAATCTCAGAATCCCCTCCCTAGACAAACACAATATTCATCGTCGCTTGATACACTGCCAATAAATTCAGGCAGTGGGTCAACAGAGGCTCAGACACTAAACACTGCTAGGCCACTTCCAACTCCTGCTTAAGAAAACTGGGGTCCCAAGACAGCCAGCTACTACCTATCAGTCACCAACACCAGAACTGGGATCCTGCTTCCAACCCAGCCCTGCTTCAGCCAAGCCAGGGGCCTACCTTCCTAAGCCAAAATTGCTCTCAGCCCTGGATATAATAAGCATATTTTTGTACAGTGTTTCCTTTATAAACCTTCTGGCAACAATAATATTTTTTTGTTAAAATGGCAAGAAGGAAGTAAATAAAAAGCACGGGAATAGAAACATACATACCTGCTCCATTATAATCTAGTCTATAAAAGTTAACTGCATTTTTGTTTCTCATTTGCAAGTCCCCAGAGAGGTTGGTACATGCTTTTCTTAGTCCTGAGACTTGGAGGGGGAAAAAAAAACACACGATCCCAGACTTTAAAAACATGACCTTGATTGATCTGAGCAAAGATCATCCATTGATTACCCGATGAGATGAAAGGCAGATGGGGAAGGTTACAGAGTAGGTAGAGCTGACCCCATGGAAACTCGGGCTCCACTGCAGCACCCCCAGTCAATCAGGCTTCGGGGAGGGAGGGCACAGACCTTCCACACACAGCATTCCTGGGGAAAGGGCCTGGAAGTCAGACGAGATCTACAGTTTATTTCCCTTCCAGGGGATGGAAAAACAAGTTTAAGGAAGTCACAAAGGAGGCAGGCATAATAGGGAGCATTCTGAAAGCCAAGTGCCATACCCTTTTTTAACAAGGAAAAGTATGAACCAGTGGGGAAGGAAGGGACAGGAGTGTAACAGATTAAAAAACTGCAGGGATACCACATCCAAGTGCAACCATGTAGAAGTCATGCTGGGGTCCTAATTCAAACATTTCACAAACAATCTGCAATATCTGAATACATAGTTGACGCCTAGAATTGCTCACTTGGGGAGTTTGGGAGGTTAGGTGAGGGAACAAGGAAGAACAAGACAGACAGACTGGCATTGTGGCTGTGTAACAGACTGGCTTACTCTCCCACATGCTAAAGCATGCTAAAACAAAATGACTTACAATCTAGAATCTGTTTCACAGTACTTTAGCACAACAACAGAGACTGAATGAAGCCAGGCAGTATTCATTAAACACTGACTGGGGACGTGGGTCATGGGGTGATGGGAATACGAATTCATACCAGTAACTCCCTCTACTTCTGCCAGTTGAATGCCCATGATTAAAATTTAAAAAAACAAAACACAAAAACAAAAAAAGCCCCATCTTTTGAAGTACTAAGAAATAAAACCAAAGCAAAGCTGTATTTTCTCTTAACCTAATCATGAGATAATGTTCTTGATGTAATCTCAGCAAAGAGCAAAAAAAAAAAAAAACGCCTATCTGTAATCCTACCACAAGGAGGTGAAGGCAGGAAGATCAGGGGTTCAAAGCTATCCATAGCTAAACACCAGGCTCAAAGCCAGCCTGGGCTACCTGAGACCCAGCATCAAAACAAACGAACAACCAAACCTGAACCCTGAAAGGCACCCGGCTGGGGTCCCACCTGTAACAGTATAAACACCTATGAAACTAACCATCAACTTTTTCCAAGCCATCTCAGAACCAGACTCTCAGGGAGGGGCCTGAGAAATGGTAATTGTTTTAAGTGCCGTGTGTGATTCTGATGCAATCTAGCCTGTCCCAGCTCCAAGGGCCCAGCCAAACAATTGTCCAGCAGGGTCTTGTGTTGCAAGCCCTCAGGGACAAGGATCACACAGGATTGAGTTCTTTCGGCTATGCCAAGCTTAAAACTGTGTTCTCTACTTTCCAAAAACATACCAAAAAGGGGGGGTGGGGGGGTGGAGGCAATCTGCCTTCAACTCCGGTATTTCTCACAAACATTTGGGTGTATTTAGCCATTTGTATTGAGGTGGAACTTCAGAATGGGAGCTATTGCCAAGAAAAATTCCCTTGGAAGAAAACAAGTGTACCTGCAGAGCCCAGGGGCTCTCACTGGGTAATATATCAGCAGGAATGATCTGCCAGGAGAAAGCCCCAAGTAAACAAGCCAGGGCTAGGGCCTGGGAGTACTGGCATACCTGGCACTTGGGCCTCACAGAATAGTCACCAGCTAGCCCCAGGCTCACCCAAGGAAAGAGAAGGGAAGAAGAAAAAACTCACAACCCCAGCTTTGTTCTAATAGCAGTAGCAAAATGCTGGGAACAAACTTCTGGCCACAAAACTGACTGGCACTTGATCAGAAACATGTCAATGCAGGTCAGCGCCTAGGCTAGGAAGCCAGGGCTCAACATTTCATAAGATTAACAATCTCAAGTCGTTCAAACCACTCCCTGTCAACAGGTACCTGTGTTTGCCCAGATTGACAGTCAATACCCCTGGGAAATGTGACTCCCAGCATCCAGTGTTGGGCAGGGCAAGGGGAGGGGTAGATGGAGACCCTCCAGGTGAGCTCTGACACACACCATCCAGCACTTGGTCACAGGGCAGGAGGGTAAATAATCCTGGCAAGTCTCACGCACGCTTCAGAGCTAGTCCTATTTAACATTTCAGAGTGTGTGTTTGCTAAATTACTTTTATGTGCAGCAGCAGTATGTCAAACATGGAGACATGGGCAAGCTGCAACTTGCAGAATGGTTTACACGGATCTAAAGGCCGGGTTCGATGCTTCATCAGTGACATGGGCTCCGGAGTCCAGATGAGCACTTTCTCCTCCACATTCTAAGCCTAGAATTGCTTGTCTCAAGGACTGACCTATACAAAAGTGTCTAATACCACAGCCTGGTTCCTTAAAGGAGAGCAGTTTTTAGGTTTCTAGAATGATCTTAAAGCACTGAGTAGAGTCAAGTTAGGGGACTGGTCTCCATATGCTCAACCTGACAATCAGAAGAACTGAGTACCTGAGCAAAACGAGCTTTTACTAACAAGGGACTTCAACTCCCTTATTGTGAGAAGAAGCACACTTTGCAAGAGTAAGGGGCCAGAAGAGAAAAGTTTCCTGAACATTCACAGGAGCACCCTCCTGACATCAGCAGCATCTGTAAGCAGAGTGAAGTGCTTGGGTGGTCACATCCTTCCTCCTCCCAGGCACCACTGCTCCCCAACTCTGCATCCCCCTCACCAATATTCTAGACATGCATATCCAATCAGGAAAACTGCGATATGGCTGCTTTGCTAACTCCTTTGTGCCCTTCCTTCTTAAAGACAGTACAATGTTCTCCTCACAAGATTCTACTCAAAACAGAGCTGTACCTCTGGACAGAAGGAAATTAACCACCCCAACCCTTCATAGCCACTGTCACCATGCAAAGGTGGCCTGACTGCCAAACTTCAACTAAAGAAGCAAGTAGATCACAGAAAAAGCAGACCAGCAGCCATGCCAAGCAGCAGCATTAGCAGGCAGAGCAATGCCTGAGAGTAGTGGCGGGAAAACCTTGTGGAGGGAATGCTTTCTCAGGATACAAGATCTTCCAGAATGCCAAGTTACATCCTGGTCTTGCTTTCCAGCTGTCAATCCTATCTCTAGTGCACCGAACACATTCCTTAAAAATAAAGCCAACTTATCTTCTTTAGCCAACCATGAAGCATAAACGAAACTTTAAAGTCAAAACTCAGCCTCTGGGGGCTCCATGGTTAAGAGCTCTTGCTACTTGCTGCTCTTACAGAAGATGTGAACATCAGGCAGCTCACTACCTACCACCTTAACTCCAGCTCTGGGGATTTGACATTTCTGTTCTCCACAGGCACCTACATTCGTGTGCACATACCCACACATAAACACACATAATTAAAACAATAATAACTTTAACAAAAAAACCCACCTTTTATAATGCTAGTCTCTAAGGAGAACCTTAACCTGAGCCTATGATTCATATTCAAAACACTTCTATACATCAGATTTCATAGTCACAGGCGACTCATGTCCTGTCTCTTGTTGGTCTTGGGGTATGAGTATACTTGGGTAGCTTCGTTATTACCCATGTATTCTAAATAACTGGAAGTTGCCTTTCACAAGTTAATATTCAGAAAGACGTTAAGTATCATTTTTTCTTCAGCCTCTGATGGCAATTTTCCTCACATATACCTCTTATGTTTAATTGATATAATACATAACACAATATAGATCTTTGCTTGAACTCTAAAACCAAAATGGTCCATCCACACAGCAGGAAGACACTGGAAAGTGACTGAGAGCCCATTGGGTCTGCAAAGCTCAGTTGTGTGATTATGCAAAAGTGTATCAAGGTACCCCTCAAAAGTCCCAACACCAAGAAGAGTGCACTACCAATATACTTAAGGAAAAGGAAGTTATTTACAACTATCCAATGTGTTAAATAGAATAAAATCCATTTACAACTGCTACGTCAGTGTGGTGACAATAAATTCATTTTTAATGCAGAAATTTTTTATTATTAAAACAAATTCAGTTCCAGAACATACAAGTGGCTTACCTGACTCCTCTCTTTGTCCACTTTCTTAAAACACTTGTTCAATGACAAATTATGTCTCACTGAGTTTTTCCACCCAGTAGGGGCATTCGCAAAATATGGGAAATGTTCTAAGATCCAGTTGTAAATATCCTTCACTGGCAGGCGCTTGGTTGGAGATTCCTCAATGGCCATAAATATGAGGCAGCTAAAAGAGTAGGGGGGCTTGCAGTTAGGGTTCTGCCTGGCATCGTAGGGCATGTCTGAGTGGGCAGGAGACGGTGGGGTGTCATCGTCCAGGTCCTGGACGGGGCTCACACTCCTGAGGACTGACTCCCCAAAACTCTTCAGCAAGTTCTTGCTCTCGTGCAGCCAGTTCAGGTTGGTCAGCTCTTCATCTTCCATGGTCCCCTCTTCTAATCTGATGTCAGGCAGAGGGAAGTCGAGGTCATCGTCTTCCTGGAGGGCCTTGGAGAAACCGCTGCCCCGGTAACACTGACTCAGTCCACTGGATACACTGATTCCTGAGCTTTCGGGCTTCTTACTGGCAGGCATGACTGGACCCATTTACGTGAAGGCTCCTAGGGAAAACAGTATAGACACTCGGTGAGCTGGAGAAACTCGAAACAGAAAGCTAGCTCAGCTTGGACCCTCTCAATTCTCCCCTCAATCCCTGTGTGGGTCTCAGCTATATGGTGATAGGACCTCACAAGTCCCATATGCAGCAACACAAGCCCTCTCCTGACACAGTTACACTATTAAGAAAAATCAGCCCATTACTGACTTGATGGACCTTAAATAAAACAAAACTAAAAATACATATGGCAGCTTTAATGTGAAAATATATTATTTTTAAAATGAGCAATTTCACAGTGGCTTCTTCAGAGGAGAATTCTTTCTTGATGCCTCTGATTCTGCATTGTATAGGCATACATCCATAACACGCAAAATTCTTTAAAGATTCATGGTAAACATGACAAAATTAAGTGTAAGGTATAATTCATGTGTCTTTGTATGATCAGTCTCATTGTTTATCCTTCTCACAGAGAAAATGCCAGTCAGGTAATGGGCTCACTCAGCTGTAATCTCAGTACTCTGGCAGGAGGATTCAGAGTCCAGGCCAGGCTGTTCTACATAGTGAGTTCCAGGCTAACCTGGGCTACATGAGACCCAGTGTCTAAGACAGAAAAGAGAGCCAGTGAGACAGTTTAGCTGGTAAAGGCTTGCTGCCAAGCCTAATGGCTGAACTCTGAGACTCACATGGTAGAGGAGAGAACCAACTCCCACAAGTTGTCTATCGACTTCAACATGTACACCGTGGCAAGCATGCACCCACAACACATACATGTACACGCACACACAAAATAAATACATATGATACTTTTTTTATGAAAGAAAAGATCGGGAAGAGGAGGCAAGGCAGAATTCTTTTAGATTAAGCTCAGTCAGTCCCATAAGAAGGTCCTCAAAAGGGTCTGAGAATTAAAACTCTGACCATAGGAGTCATTGATTTAGTTGTCTGAGTTGATTTTTCCCCCCACAAAATCATGTGCAAACATTGCAATTTTAATTACATTTGACAAGTCTAAATGAGGATGACAAGGAAGTCTGTAGACTGAAACTTGAGGAAGTGTATTCAATTAATAAAGGACACTGTACCTAGAAAGAAAAAGCAAGTGACCTGAGGTGCTAGACAAATAAATGGGAATGAAAGTAAGCTATTTACTAAAACCAGAATTAGTGAAGAGAAAAAAAAAAAAAAAAAAAAAAAAGAAAAAAAAAAAAAAAGAAAAAAAAAAAAAAAGAAAAAAAAAAAAAAAGAAAAAAAAAAAAAAAGAAAAAAAAAAAAAAAGAAAAAAAAAAAAAAAGAAAAAAAAAAAAAAAGAAAAAAAAAAAAAAAGAAAAAAAAAAAAAAAGAAAAAAAAAAAAAAAAAAAAAAAAAAAAAGAAGAGTTGGGAGAGCAACTGGAAACTTTAAGAGGACAAATTCAACACAAATTCTAACAGGAGTCTATCCCAAAACCACCAGCATCCCCACTTTTATCAATGACCTAGAACAGACAGTAAAACAGTATCTGATGAGAAAATACAAGGAGATGGCAAGTTCACAAACAGAATACTCCTACAGATCCAGAGCATGCTCAGCACTCTAGCACTCAAAGATAGAGGACAATGAGTCTTTCACTCAGTTTGAAGAGTTAAAACAATAAGCTTAGTTTAAGAAAAATGTCCTTTGTATTTTTTTTTGTCCCAATGAAGAAATAAAGCAACCTACCAAGAGATGAATAAATACATCAAAGGCAAAGACATGGTCAGTCTAAACTCTAAATACCCATTAACACAGCATCTAAAATAATGACTGCTTCAGCACAGGAAGTTCCAGAAGGGATTCTAGAAAGCATGATGTACAGCAAGCAGCAAACAACCAGGCGAGGTGCCAGCGTGCTGCAGCAATTTCCCACCAGCTGGATAGAGGTGCAAAGGGCAACTCCCAGAAGCCTGCAAGATGCCCTGGCTACATAAAGAACATCTGAACAGGGCATCATAGCTCAGCCTAAACAGTTCACAAGCCCTGCGTCATCCAAGGGAATCTCTTCCTCAAATAAGGAGGTTCTGTATATAGCAAATCACTCTGTAAAGAAAAATATAAGCTTGGATATTCGGGTTTGGGTATGTAACTGAATCCATCCTGATACTGTTTTCAACTTCCTTATGAAGGAATCAGGGCCAGCTTGTCTCAAAGTTTCCTCAGATTCCTCTGGAAAAGGTTCCGACTGCCAGCACACATCCACACAAAAGAGAACTGCCCAGGCAGTGAAGTCAACTTTAGCCTCAAATGAAAGTTTTATGTCTCCCGAGCTTCCAAACAGGAAAATTATATCATGGCTGACAGTGAAGTAATTTAATTGCACTGTTGCTATGACAACATACTGCTCTCTTTCTTTTTAATTTGCTTATTTGTCAGCAGCTCCCCAAAGGAACTTACATGCTATTCTCCGCTCTTTCTTTTGTCTTAAACCAACGCTGTCAGCAACGTGGTTCTATTGGGGGGGGGGGGATGATGGCATTGCCGAGAATGGTCTGGGTGGGTTCCGACCCTGGGATCATTGTCTCCCCAAATTATTAACTGCATCCCTTTAAATCCCGCATTTCATAGTAACAGTACTGAGCGCTCCTGATCGCTTTACTTCTATGGTTTAAAACAAAACAAAACAAAATATAAACAGTTCCCATAACCAGAGCTAAGGAGTTTTCCATTATTATAACCTAACTACATTATTGGCCAAACCTTTTTTTTTTTTTTTAATTCTTACTTTAATGAGGGAGGGGTCATGCGAGCCTGCAGTTAAGCAAACATTTTTACGCAAATACTGATTCTCCAGTGTCCACCTTACAACTTTTAGGTTATTGGTTAAGTCCCCTACACTTACATACATACATACATACATACATACACACACACACACACACCCTCCTTTTGTTTTCGACTTCTTGTTTTATCTTTTCATTTTTCTTAAACGCTGAAAATGGAGCAGAAAGGCTCATTTTCTTCCCTAGTATCAGAACGGCTCCTAATAGCTGACAAAGCCGTTACGGCCCAGCTCTGAACAGATGTTCAATATGAACTTTTAAAAAGTTGAGAAATCTTCTTCCATGGAGGTTTAGGCAGTCTGGAGTTTGGGGAACCGGGACCTCCCCCTCCATGCGCGCGCACTCACGCACGCGCTCCACTCCCGTCTACTGTACTTGTCAAAAACATTTCAAGGGGACCAAAGAGAGCGGCGATTGGCTGCACCCCGCGTCAATCAGAGGCGTTGCCAGGCAACAGGAAAACTGCTCTTCTCCGCTTAGACAGGGCAATTGGGAGCTCGCATACCTTCACTGCCGGTCAGATGTCATAAACCTTTTATTGGCCGCACCGCGGCGAGCCTTAAAAACAAATCAATAAAGGCCCGCCGGCCCCCCAACTCAGGCGGAGCCCAAGGAGGGTTTCAAAGCCCCGGGGTTGGCGAGGTCCGGCCTCGGGGGTGTCGGAAGCCGCTGGCTGCCGGTGCCGAGCGAGCTCCGCTGGGGAGGGGAGCTTTGTTAGGCGCCCTTCACCGTCTTGGGGTGTCTAGTCGGTCGGCACCTCCTTTCCCACCCGGAACAGCGGGGAATCCTCCCCCCCCCCGCTCCGGGGACCAGCCCAAGTCCGTTCCTCCCGGGAGTCCGTGGGGAAACTGAGGCACCGCCGAGGAGCACGCACGCCGAGAGGCAGGAAACTCTCCAGCCGGGGCAACTTCCCCGCCCCGGGCTCGGGTCCCCCGGGGCCGCCTGGGCCGCGCTCGCTGGGCCGAGCCCCGCACCGCGAGCCCCGCTCTCCCAGGCTGGGTCCCCCGGCCGAACCCCCAGGCGGGCCCGGGCGCGGGGTGCAGACTCACCTGGCCGGA